TGATATATACGGAGACTCGGCATTAATAATTAATAAAATCAAAGGAGAATGGGAGACTCGTCATCCTGGTTTAATCCCTTATAGAGATTATGCTAGAAGATTGTTAACTTTCTTCAACAAAGTGGAATTACATCATATCCCTAGAGATAAAAACCAAATGGCTGATGCTTTAGCTACTTTGTCTTCTATGTTCCAAGTGAATAATTGGAACGACGTGCCTTCAATCAGAGTTATGCGCCTCGACAGACCTGCTCATGTGTTCTCAGCAGAGGAAGTCGCCGACGACAAACCGTGGTTCTATGACATTAAACGTGTTCTTCAAACTCAAGAGTACCCTCCTGGAGCATCCAATAAAGATAGGAAGACGTTGAGGAGATTAGCAAGTAGTTTCTTCCTCAATGAAGAAGTATTATATAAGAGGAATTATGACATGGTCTTGCTCAGATGCGTAGACAGACATGAAGCGGACATGTTGATGTAAGAAGTACATGAAGGATCCTTTGGCACTCATGCCAATGGACATGCAAAGGCTAAAAAGATGTTGAGGGTTGGTTATTATTGGATGACGATGGAATCTGATTGCTGCAAATATGTGAAGAAGTGTCATAAATGTCAAATTTATGCGGACAAGATACATGTGCCACCGACCCTCCTCAATGTTATCTCTTCACCTTGGCCTTTCTCTATGTGGGGCATTGATATGATTAGAATGATTGAACCCAAAGCTTCAAATGGTCATCATTTCATCTTGGTGGCCATCGACTACTTTACTAAATGGGTGGAAGCAGCATCTTATGCTACTGTAACCAGACAGGTGGTAGTCAGATTTATCAAGAATCAGATCATTTGTCGATACGGCATCTCGAGCAAGATCATCACTGATAATGGTTCGAATTTGAATAACAAAATGATGAGAGAGCTTTGTGAAGAGTTCAAGATCGAACATCATAATTCTTCTCCCTACAGGCCAAAGATGAATGGGGTTGTTGAAGCAGCGAATAAGAACATCAAAAAGATTATCCAGAAGATGGTAGTAAATTATAAAGATGGGCATGAAATGCTTCCGTTCGCTCTACATGGGTACCGTACTTCAGTTCGAATTCAACAAGCACAACCCCATTTTCCCTAGTATATGGCATGGAAGCAGTACTCCCCGTGGAGGTTGAGATCCCGTCTATGAGAGTTCTAATGGAAGATAAACTTTCTGAGGCTGATTGGTGTCAAAGTAGATATAATCAGTTGAATTTAATTGAAGAAAAAAGATTGACAGTGTTGTGTCACGGTCAACTATATCAGCAAAGAATGAAGAAGGCATTTGATAAGAAGGTTCGACCACGCGAATTCAAAGAAGGTGACCTCGTGCTCAAGAAGATATTATCTTTCCAACATGATTCTAGGGGCAAATGGGCTCCGAATTCTGAAGGACTGTATGTTGTTAAGAAGGTTTTCTCTGGAGGCGCCATGATTCTCACAAATATGGATGGTGAAGAACTCCCGCGCTTCGTGAACGTCGATGCAGTCAAGAAGTATTTCGCCTAAGTTTGAGCTGACAGTTCGCTAAGTTGAAAACCCGAAGGGGCGGCTTAGGCAGGCTTTTGGTCAAATCAGTCATGGCATTCGAGCACATCTCAGAATTCGAAGTTGTTAGGGAGAATTGTGGTCATTGTTTTTGTGTAACCTTTTTCTTTCATGTACTATTTCCCAAACTTTTGTAAACCGTTGGAGTCGCGTTGTTAGCGAACTACCATCTTATTAATGAAATTTGAGCATTTATCTTTTTGCGGGCAAAATTTTAGTTTTTATGGCAACATTTGAAACAAAGTTAAAAAGTATTCCTATTTTGAAATATGTCATAAATACTAGAAGGAATATTAACAGTTGCTCCGAGTATGGTTAAGCCATGAAATGCAAAACAATCCGGTAATTCATCCTTGCATGATGAACATGTTTTCTTTCAAGATCGTCATGAGGTGTTGGTTGTGTAATCTTGTGTTTCTAATAGAGTACTAATTTGGTGACTCCCCAGTAATCCCAGATAAGCCTTGATTCGGTTATCTCTAATTGAGCAAATTTATGAAGTGTAGTACATTTTGTTGTCATGTCAGTGGTCTATTGGTGTTGGAAGATTGGATCTGAATACCTTTCTCCCTAGAAAGACTTGAACCTTGTAGTATGATACGCTCTGACGTTGCCTTTTGTTCCAGTTCCAGTTATTTTTCGTCTCTTTGAGATTGGCCGAGTATCTAACTATTTTGTGATATCTTATCATCTTCAATTTATTTCCTCCACCTACTTTGTCAGCATACACATGACATTCACTTACTCATTTACACTTATATCATGCATGCACATTCACATTTGTCGGTGATTTTAGGTTCGTATACCTTGTTTATGTTTATTCAAACAGCATATCTGTTCTTTCCAAATAGAATGTCAACTTAGGCAGAAAGTGCGCCTTCCTTTCTAATTCCCCAGTTGAGCTAATCCTCGTGGATGAATTTTTTATTTTAGCCTTCCTTGTCCATCTCTGGATAGGATGAATCCCCAATTGGGTTATTTTCTCATTGGGTGGAGTCTTGTTTGACTGTCTTCTCTCTGGTTTATTCCTGGATTGAGTTTTATCTCTTGCATAGGCTACCTCGTGGTTTTCCCCAGGCTGGGCAACCTAGATGAATGGAGCATTTATTTTGCGCATTTAAGTATTTGATCTCTTCAGGAAGGATCTATTTATGGTTCCCGTTGAAGAAGAATTTTATTCCCTGGCAGTGTTATCACAACATTCTTCTGGAACATCTTTGGAAAACGACAAGCGGCGGTCTCTTCATGAGCAACTTGTGCGTTATTGACATCTTTGGAAAACGACAAGCGGCGGTCTCTTCATGAGCAACTTGTGCGTTATTGACATCTTTGGAAAACGACAAGCGGCGGTCTCTTCATGAGCAACTTGTGCGTTATTGACATCTTTGGAAAACGACAAGCGGCGGTCTCTTTATGAGCAACTTGTGCGTTATTGACATCTTTGGAAAACGACAAGCGGCGGTCTCTTCATGAGCAACTTGTGCGTTATTGGCATCTTTGGAAAATGACAAGCGGCAGTCTCTTTATTTGAGCAACTTGGGCGTTATAGTTTTTTGGAAGACAACAAGTGGCGGCTTCTTTATTTGAGCAGCTTGTATGTTATAGACATCCTTTGAAGACAACAAGTGGCGGCCTCTTTATTTGAGCAGCTTGTGCGTTTATTGATATCCTTTGAAGACAGCAAGTGGCGGCCTCTTTATTTGAGAAGCTTGTGTATCTACAACCATATGTTATTTCAGCATCAAATGGTATCTCTCCGGAAAATATCGCAGAGAAGTTTGTTATGAAATCTCTACCTTCAGAAGTCGATAATTCACTATCAGCAAAAGTTGATACATCTTTTGTCTATCTTTGACCTTGAGTTGTGAACTCACCATCATCTTGGGTCAATAATCTTTTTTCCGTGGCCTATGCAAGGCGTCTTTTTGTTAGGGTCAGAAGTTGTTTTCTCTCAAATTTATTCCTCGTTAAGAGTCTATCATTCGAAGTCGATGGCTCATTCCCCCAGTAGTGTATAATCTATGTTCCTGCGGGTTATTTGTGCTTGGTTTCTCCAGCATTATTTTGTCTCATACAGTATCATTCTCCATAAAGTTCAAATACTACATTCATATCATAAACATAATGGCGGTATCTTAGGGCAAAAATTGTGTATTATGTATTTAAGTACCTTCGATCTCGTCGAGACGAAGATTTCAATCTTCATATCTCCAGATAGAAGAAACTTAAATAGGGGCAGCTGTCATACCCCAATTTTTGACCTAAGATCCCTGCTTCATTTACATTGTTTTATATATACATCAAGGTTACAGAATATGGTAGGTTTCGAACGTTTCGCTTTCGAGCTTTGACTGTGTAGAGATTATCGAGTGTTGTGAGCATTTTATCTTATGAATGACTAACCACTAATTAAGCACGAAGTGTATGTTTTGCTTTTTGATTTCATGTGCAGGAAATAGGTCTGAAAGAAGAGCATCAGACGTCACACATCAATTAGGGTTTCGAGTCTCGGGACAGAAATGTGGTTGGACGTTGATTCTCAAAGGTTGATTCATCAAAAGAATTTCAAAGAATCGTGTGTTTATTTCCACACTCTGTCCAACAGATGGTCTCCAGTGTCTCTGAAATTTTTCGAAAAGAACAGTCGAAGTTTTACTGCCTTTGGTTCATGTGTGTTTCACATTGCTTTAAAATACAAGAAAACCAAGCTATGCCAGTCATTTTCGATCACTTCGACCAAAAGTCATCTGCAAGTTTTCTCATGACGCGGAGTGAATTTCGTCAAAATGGGATGATTAAATTCAAAACCGTTCTAGAATAATTTATTCGGAACACTTGGAATTTTCTTTATTTGAATTCAAGTGATAATTAAAGAGGAGCTACCAAGAGATCTCATTCAAGAATAATTATTTATCGCATGAAATATTTATTCAAGATTGTTTTGTGTGATTATTTTGGTGGATTTACATTATGGTTATTTGAACACACATGAAGCATTTATGAAGGAGATATTAGAGAAAGAAATTCGATCCAAGTAATCGTTCATCACAAGATTAATTACATGAGGATTGTTATTTGATTACAAAATCAATTCATGTGATTTATTTGGATCTCTATTACAAAATGCAAGATTAAAGTCTAAGACTTGCATTATTATTTATTCATCACTCAACAATTTATTCAAGTATTATTCAATTCTTTCCCAATTCAAATGGAAGACTTGAAATTTTATCAAGACATATCAAGATTCAATTTCATATGAAGATTCAAAGTTATTTATAATTACAAGGGAATTGAGAATATATTGAATAATACATATCCACTCATGTTACAATTTACTTGGATTTATTATTACAAAGTTACAAAAGAAATGCAAATTTTGTACATGAAAATCAAGCTATTATTCTTGCTACAAAACAGTCTCAATGCTGCCCATTTTTCCAGCACTGTTTTAATCCAATAACAGTCCAATTCTTGAGTTTAATGTTGTCCATTTTCTCCAACCTTGTTTTAACAAAGACCATGCCAAGTTGTTGTCCTAATCTGCCCTGCAAAACAATCCAAAATGCAGCCCATAAGACAAAAATCTGCACCTTTGCTGCTACAAAAACCAGTCTACAAAATTCCAAATATTGCACTAAAATGCATACTTCAAAAAGTTGTCTCATAAAACATCAAAACAGAGCCAAAAACAATTCAAATCTCTATTATTCCCCCCCCCCCCCCCCCCCCCCTAAAACCCCATATTTTTCACTATAAATAAAGGCCTTTATCAACAGGAAAGGAGAGGAATTTTTTTCAAGAATCGCCACAAAATTCAGCAAGATAAAACAGAAAGAGAAAAATTTGTCCAAGAATCACACTAAGAATCAGAAGAGGAGCATTGAGAAGAGAAGCATCAACAAGAGATGGAGGGAGAACTTACTATTTTTTCTGAAGCTCCATCGGAGAGACTCCGATAGGTATTTCTCTTCCCATTATCTCTGCATAGTTTTCTCATATAAAATCTACTGAGTCCATTTGCATAACAACATCACCTCCATGATTTGAATCTTCTCTTTGCACCATTTCCTTTATGCCATGAATGTTTGATTTACCATAATCCTTGAGGTATTATGGAGTTGCTACGTTCTGTTGATGTTTAACCTGTTAAAAATCAGAATATTAATTCTTAGGATTATGTTACAACCTGTTAACATAACTAGAAAACTAAGATGCATAACCTGCTAAGAAATTTTCTCTAAAAATTGCTCAACTCTGTCAAACCCGAACCTGTTAGCTGTAAAACAAAAACTCAAACAAAAACTCAGAGCTTGTTAAACTCTGAACCAAACTCAGAACCTCTTACCTCTGAACCAAAACTCAGAACCTGTTACCTCAGAACCAAAACTCAGAACCTGTTATCTAAGAACCAAAACTCATAACCTGTTACCTCATAACCAAAACTCAGAACTTGATAACTCAGAACAAAAACTCACACCTTCTAAAATAGTAAAAATCAGCAAAACTAACTATTCAAGTATTTCATCTATATCGTCTTCTGAAGCATAACACCATCTCCGCCTAGCTCATTGCCAGTCATTTCCGACCATTCTTCATCTTCTACTTTACCCTTTTTACCATGCACCATCACTGATTCACATGCTTCCATCCATCATCACCTTCAGAACTTCTAGATCCCCTCCGATCTCGACGGCGCTGACTCGTCCACTCTTTCTCCCTCACCCGAATCAACCGGACAACTTTCTATAATCGACCCCCTCGAGTATGGCCTCGATCCCGACATTTTATAGATCATTTGATAGGCAAGGCAGGGAAAAGAAAGCATTGCAGAAGAAAAACGGGGAACCTTGTGAGAAGAGAATTTTTTTTGGTGATGGTTGTTTGAGCGAAGAGGATGTAAAATTGGAATAGGGAGAGAGGAAGTTGATAGTAATACGTCAGAGAGAGAGAGAGGATTGTTTTTTTTATCGTTTTATTAATTGTTTTTTTATTGGAAACAGGTTCTGTTGGGAATCAGTAATGATAACCTGCTATCCCATTTCCCAACAACCAGCCACAATATCTTTCTTTTGGTACTCTAGGGTTTTCAAATTTGTCTTTCCTCTAAACCGGGTCAGCCTTTGGGCCTCTTGGCCCAACCCAGTTACCATCATCACCTTAGTTATTAATAAAAGCATAATAATAGATAATCAGCTCAGCTTAGTTGGCAAAACCCATCACCGATGACCAAGGAGACCCGAGTTCTACCCTTGTTGGGGTTCCCTTTTCGTTTTTAAGTCTATTCTCCTCATATTTTACTATATTTTCCTTAAACAAATATTAGTTAGTTCATTTTTATATAAAATTATCTCTTATTATAAAATATAAACAAATTATTAAATCAACCTTTCATTTAATTTTTGTTATTTACTTAAATACATGTTATTATAAATTAATATTTATTTAATTTTTGTTAACATGCTATTAAATCTTCTACTTAAGGTTTGTTATTTTTAATTATGCAAATACATGTTTTTATTTAATTTTTGCTATTTATTTAATTACTCAAAATTGCATGCTAGTATAAATTAGTGTTCTATTTAATTTTTGCTGTTTATTTAATTGTTCCATTGTCGCTATAATTAATTTTATCATCGATCGTTTAATCTTTATATCTTTCGTCCGTCTCAAATCCAAGGGAAATGTTTTAACTTTGTTGACTTCACGTCATCAAACACATCGTGCGAATACCCTCATTCATCTTTTGTTTGTTTATTATTTTGCTAAACCTAAGATGATTTTTCTAAAAATCCTCACTTTTAAAATCACACCTTTTAAGTCAAAACTTCGACATTAGGTCGTCGTATCTTCAAAATCTCGTCCACACCCATTTTAGCCAAACAAACCATTTTAATCAAATAAACAATTTTAATAAACAAATATTTCAAAAGGTTCCTATAGGATACTATAGATGCATTGGGTGCTAATACTTTCCTATTGCATAACCAACCCCCGAACTCTAGATCTCTTTTTAAAAATGCATTGTATTTTCATTACTTTTAAATATTATTTTACATTGCATATTTTAGGGTTTTATTTCGCTCTTTTCCTTTTTCCCTTGGAAATAATAAAGCACGGTGGCGACTCTTGCTTTTGTGAGTCGAGTTAATTAATAGCTCGATCTCCGATTTACCCCGCTATATTTTTTATCGCTACACATGGTTAGGTGTCCCTTCTCCCTTGTCCTACCTCGACGATATGATATTATGGTTATGGGTGATCCCTCTCCCTTGCCTTCATTGGTGACATGATACCTTGGTTAGGCGTGTGCTACTTGAGTGAGTGGATACTCCTCAAGCTTTGTGTGTTTAGTTTCCATTGCACATTTGCCATGCTCCCCATAGGATTTCTCGATTCAATCTTAGGAAGTGAATTAAGATAGACCTTAGGTTGCAAACTATGCATTCTAACACTAGGTAGATTCCCCCTTTATCCTCGACTATAGGATCAACTTTGCATGACAACTCTAGGCTTACTTTGCTAGATTCCCTTAGACTTTTTCCTTTCTCTTTTGCATTTGCATTAAAACTAAAACATTTTTTTCATTCAACTCATAAAAACACTCTAATAATACAAAAACCCTTTTTCAAGGTAAAAAACACCAACCAATTCAAACTTCATTTCGCCGCTTGACTTTTCTTTCAAAACCCTTTTTCAAGGTAAAAAATGTTGGTGTAAGCCCTAGAGGCCAATACTTTTGGTACTTGTATCGAATTATTTATTAATAATAAAAGGCATTTCTTTATTATGTTTACTTTCCAAAATAATAAAGTCCCTAGAATGGTTTATTTGTTTAATTAAATGTTAAGTGTGACTTAATCATGAGATCCCATTAAACATAAGACACTATTCTTAAAGTATCCGTAGTCAAGCTTTAATATGAAGTGGGATAACATTAAAGCATTAAGATTATTATGAAGATAGATTGATGATCACATCTCATGGATCATAGATAAGGAGTTATCAAGTCTTGACATAGGTATGAATATTAGGAGTAATATTTATACTGGATTGACCCGCTATGAGAATACTACATAGAATGTTATGCAAAGTGCCATAAGTTATTCTCATGATGATAATGGTGTATACCACCCTTTGACCTGAAACCACTATGGACCCTAGATGTAGAGTCAAGTACTTTATTGTTGATCAAACGTCATCCATAACTGGATGACTATAAAGACAGTTGATAGGTACTTCACAAAGCATGCTAAGGGACATGAGTGACCTAGATGGAATTTGCTCATCCTGCATAACAGGATAAATGTCTAAGGGCCCAATATTGAACTGGACAAGGGTGACACAGTGTATGTCTTGTGTTCAATATAGACATGAGGGCAAAAGGGTAATTGTACAACACAAATATTATCAAGGAAAAGGTTTGGTCAGATCACATGACATTTTCGTGACTTGGGTAACAGTGATTGAAGGAAAATTGTGATCAGAAAAGCGCAGCGGATTTTAAAATTTTCCTTTAGCGATCCTTACGAATGAACATGGTCAGTGATAGAAATATTTACCTCTTGTGGCAATTCAGACCTTTGATGTTGTGATCACGAGCGTTGATGAAGAACAACGCCTCTACTCAGTTCACACGAACAGATCGCTTTCGGTCACAGTGCTAGCTGATCACGAACGGAAACCTTGAGTGAAAGAGAGAATCAAAAACGAAATTGCATCAAATGAAATTGCTTCATCACAAGGGATCTATTTATAGAATCACTCGTGTGGGCTACAAGCTAAAATCCCAATTAAGGCTATAAGCTAAAAGCCCAATTAAGCTTATGGACATCATACCTTATGATGTACCATATATCACTTATCCACGTCGTACCTTACCACTTTCCGTATTACACTTAAGTGCACCGTACCTTACGGTGTTCCTTATTTATTCTATCTCTCATCAATTTGTCCTTATGTGTGTGACCCTGTAGGTTTTCGCGACGTTGGCAATTATATTAAATCACACATTTAATATAATAAACAGTGAGCGGTATCTAGCAACACATCACTGTTACCCAAGTCACGAAAATGTCATGTGATCTGACCAAACTTTTTCCGTGATAATATTTGTGTTGTACAATTACCCTTTTGCCCTCATGTCTATATTGAACACAAGGCATACAATGTGTCACCCTTGTCCAGTTCAATATTGGGCCCTTAGACATTTATCCTGTTATGCAGGATGAGCAAATTCCATTTAGGTCACTCATGTCCCTTAGCATGCTTTGTGAAGTACCCATCAACCGTCTTTATAGTTATCCAGTTACGGATGATGTTTGATCAGCAATAAAGTACTTGACTCTACATCTAGGGTCCATAGTGGTTTCAGGTCGAAGGGTGGTATACACCATTATCATCATGAGAATAACTTATGACACTTTGCATAACATTCTATGTAGTATTCTCAAAGAGGGTCAATCCAGTATAAATATTACTCCTAATATTCATACCTATGTCAAGACTTGATAACTCCTTATCCATGATCCATGAGATGTGATCATCAATCTATCTTCATAATAATCTTAATGCTTTAATGTTATCCTACTTCACATTAAAGCTTGACTACGGATAGTTTAAGAATAGTGTCTTATGTTTAATGGGATCTCATGATTAAGTCACACTTAACATTTCATTAAACAAATAAACCATTCTAGGGACTTTATTATTTTGGAAAGCAAACATAATAAAGAAATGTCTTTTATTATTAATAAATAATTCGATACAAGTAGCAAAAGTATTGGCCTCTAGGGCTTACACCAACAATCTCCCACTAGCACTAGAGCCAATCAGGCATACCCCTAATACCCATAGATCTAGTATGTCCATCATGCTTCAGCTGCGCAAGAGGCTTTGTTAATGGGTCAGCAACATTGTCAAGTGTAGGTACTCTGCATATTTTCACATCTCCCCGATCGATTATCTCTCGAATGAGATGATAACGTCTAAGTATGTGTTTGGATCGTTGGTGAGATCTAGGCTCCTTAGCTTGTGCGATAGCACCATTGTTATCACAATAGAGATCAATGGGATCCACAATGCTATGGACTATGCCAAGTTCACTAATGAACTTCTTGATCCAAACAGCTTCCTTTACTGCAGTTGAGGCAGCAATATACTCAGCCTCGGTTGTAGAATCAGCAACTGTATCTTGCTTTGAACTTTTCCAGCTCACAGCGCCACCATTTAAACAAAACACATAACCAAATTGCGATCTAAAGTCATCCTTATCTGTCTGGAAGCTAGCATCGGTGTATCCAATTACAGCAAGCTCTTCCTGACCTCCATATATCAAGAATGAGTCCTTAGTCCTTCTCAAGTACTTAAGGATATTCTTGACAGCTACCCAATGAGCATCACCGGGATTAGACTGGTACCTACTCGTTGCACTTAAAGAATACGAGACATCTGGTCGAGTACATAGTATGGCATACATGATAGATCCTATTGCAGATGCATATGGAATCTTATCCATGCGATCCCTTTCTTCCTTATCTGAAGGGGATTGTGTTTTTGACAGACACGTGCCATGTTGCATAGGTATGAATCCTTTCTTGGAATCATGCATATTAAAGCGTCTCAACACTT